AAGTTGTTCACCTTGAGTTTACACAAGCCAATTAACTTGATCATTTTGAGTTGCGTAAACTTGCACAACCATAGTGTACAAGTTAAGTCCTGGCATCTGTCTATACTTTTTTCTCTGCTAAACCTTGGATAAAAAAAAAAATATGAAAATCAGTAGTTGATTGCTTCAAAGGTGAACAGTTTTTTTTTTTCGCTCTCAGGCAGAGCGGATGGTCGTGACAGTGAGCGTACGGCTCACACGCGGTGCTAAAAACTAGCCAATTAGCGCTCTGCTGCTCTGCAAGTATATCTTCATTTTTCATGAACTGACTGTACAGTTTTGCGACAAATAACAAAGAGGTTCGATTATTTTCTGCTGCTGGTGGCACAGTGCATTGTGGGATACCTTGCTGGAGGTAATTGCATCATCCTGTGGGCTGGCTTGCCTTGACATCCCCCCATAGTTTACAAAAGCATAAAGGAAAAAAAAAGATGACTGTTATTATTGTTATGACTATTAATAGTCATAATAGCAGTATTATGACTATTATTATAACTAATAACAGTCATTATTTTTTAAATAATAATAGACTATTATTATACATAATAATGTTCTGTTATTAATTTATATTATTATTTATAGTAATAGTAATCACAGGTACTAAAAAAAAACAGGCACTGTTACCATATTTTTATTATGATCTCGCAGTGACTTTTTGTAAAAGCTGAACTTCAGTGAGACAGAAGTACAGCTATGGAGGCCGATAAGGAAAACCGGAGGCTGAAGGAAACGCCCAAACGTTCCAGATATTCCTCACCCGTCAGCTGGGATGATTCAGGAAACACAGGAGATTTGGAAATCCTAACTCTGAATTGTTTGAAAGGATTACACAACATTGTGATTGTGCCTCTAGACAGAAAAAAAAAATAGAAGAATGCAGATGATATTTTTGCCCAACTCATGACTTTTAAAAGAAAATCAGTCTTGCCTTTAAAATAGTTAAAAATACTTATTTAGGTCAAGGTGAGCGTGGCTGGAATAAACACTGAATCCCTCACACACACACCAGTGCTGTTTCCTGGTGCCTCTCTCTGTGTGGCGGGGTATTTTTACCACTACCTCGGGGCAGTATTGAAACTAATGGGATCTGAAGGCTTGTCCACCCCAGTTAGCGCGTGTTTGTCTGTCCTGGTTGTTTTTCGACGCGCTCTCCTCATACCCCGAAGATTTGAGAACGAGGCCTGATGGGACGGGCGCAAGCTCCATCGCGATTGGCTGGGCGTGAGTCCGCCTGCTCGTCCAATGGGCATGACAGAAAAAGAGATCCTGGTGACGAGGGGTAGGAAAAAAAAAAATTAGCCGTGTATTTTTCCAGTCTTCTTTTTTTTTTTTAAGTCACATCACGATTCACAGAAATTCAGGCTTTGAATGCACTTCCTGACACGATGCAGGGATTTTGCATCACAGCCAATCCCTGTGAATCAGCCGTACTGAGACAGCTAATCTTTTCTTTATTCTACTTCCGGAGGTTTTTAATTTTTTCTTTGTATTCACCCTTCATCTTACACAACCAAGATCTCAGAGCTGCGATGTTTCCACTGCGCTTCAGGATTTCTGCTGGATCAGCCGGATGCTCTTATCAGTGGCCCCAATAAGTCGGAGGTTTCAGGATGATAGAAAATCCTCTGGAAATGCCCATAAATGGACATCAGAACTTGACCTCTGAGAAATCTCTTTTACCTTTACAGAGGCTGCAGGTTTCGACCTCTTCAAGTACGACTGATTTGCTCCGCCTTGCTTGTCCGGCCGACACCGAGGGAGGCCATCTTGAGCAAGGTCGTCTGGGATGGGGATGAAAAGTTTGGGGGATCATCAATCTTCAATAAGTATATAGCTGAGTTATGTGAAAAAAAATACTTATGGACGTTAGAAAAGGTAAAAAAAACAAACAAAAAAAAACAAAACACCTTGAACATCAAAATGGCTGCTAAACAGTGCAAATGAAGGGGAGGTAGAAGCAGGACGTTTGTGCTGGTTTCTGCAGCAACATTTTTTGCTTGTGCCGTTTTAGCGTAGAAAATATTTATGAAAGTCTACAGGTCAAAAGGTCAGCCGGGCCCCCCACTTGTACAAAATCAAACTGATCTTTAAAATTTGGTTTGTATTTTCAGGGTTGACCTGTCATGACCTCTGGAAACATTTCTTAATGTCTTTAAAATGATAGTGGCACAAAAAATGCGCAAACGTTTGCACCATTTTTGCCCGATTTGAAGACAAACCTCTCTCAGGTCAAACAGCCAGTGGTGGGTTTTAAACTTCCTGCAAAAACAGAACTAATCACAGCTTTAATGTTTGCAACAGGTGACCAAAAGTATTTGCTTTGTACGCAAAATGTCCAACTGTGTGTTCAGTACGAATCATTGCATTGGGAGAAAGTTTGCTGTAGTTGCCTGTTAAAGCCAACCAGGATATTAGAGCATAGTCCGGAATGACACCCACTCCACCCCCCAGGGTGCATTTACAATAATCTCTCACCCCGTTTAGGTCTGTATTTAGAGCCATTAACCCCCCCATGTAGCACCCTCTCCTACACTCCTTCATTCTGCCTCTTAATAGCCTGGATTAGCTGCTGCTTTAATAGACTCATCCATCTCCTCTGTTTATTCACTAGTTTTACCCACACACACACACACGAATGCACACACTCGCTTTCTCTGCACCTCGTCCTCCTTCCATCTTCTTTGCTCATGGGCAATTACACAAACAAATACAGTTTATTTTCACTGTTTCAGGCTGCCGTCTGGTCCATGAATAGATTTGTCAGGCAGTTGTTCCTTTTTATTTATTTATTTTTTGTATTATCAGTAGGTCAGAGGTTGCGTAGTCATCCTTGCAGGGTAAAGGTGAAGCCGCGCTGTCGCTCCTGCGGTTCGCAGGGTGCATTAAGCATGCAGATTTATGTAAATTCCTGCCACAGAGCTGAGCTGCTGATTGGTTGGAGCTTTGAGCCCCTGCAAAGCCCTCTCAGAGTTCAAAGCTGGATTCATTTAGTCTGACGTGAGCAGAAGCAGGGGGATGGAGGGGCGTATGCCGAGAGGAAGGGCTTCCTGGGGGTGGCGTTCGTCAGACACACGCAGGGAACCCACCCACACTCAGCACTTAAGAAAAAAAACCCCAAAAACCATGTGAATGTAATGTGATGTCATCTCAAAGGGAGGGGAAAAGAATGACATCCTGTTGTTATTCTAGAGGGGTTCTTAAAACCTGACATGTTTTCAGTGGAGGTCCATCAATTTGACTCATCACCATGCAAGGTCAACTGGGTCAGAGGTCAGACTCTCACCACATAATATGGTCACTGAATTTAGAGGAAATGTTATATTATTCGCATTTTGATTACGATTTAGTCTGCAAATAATAATGAATATATATATATATATATATATATATATATATATATATATATATATATATATATATATATATATATATATATATATATATATATTTTTTTTTTTTTGTTGTTTTTTTTTTCTGTTTGTTGGAACTGTAACTATGTCATGACAACATGGGGAGACAAATAATCTGTGAAAAAAATTGAGCTCCTCTGCCTTTTCCCAATGCTAACCAGAATGAACCAATAAGAGCCAGGAGGCGGGTCTTAGCGCTGTCAGTCACCTTCCATGTGGAGGCTCAGGCTACTAAGTATAACCACCAACGACAGCGGATAAACGATTTTTCTGTAACTGTAGGTTTTTTCCCTGCCCTTAATACAATTAGCGGTGAGTACGTGACAGCTGTAAGCCCCTCCCCTTGGCTCTGATTGGTCGGATTTGGGTACATTTGTTCAGGTGGCAGTTCAGGCAGGAGGTGGAGGAGATTGATCTTTTCACAGATTATCTGTCTCATAATTTACTTTCACGACGTGTTGGTAGTTTTAACAAATATGTAACAAAACAATTTTTAAAATAAATGTTACATATGATTTTACAAATGTTTTTTTTTTCATGACAAATCTTAACTTCATCAAACTTAAGACTCAGTCAACCATTACTTTCATTCACTGCCTAGAAGAGTCCATTGGAGAACTATGAGGATTATATAATTTTATAAATTGTAACGCAAATAAATAAATGCCTTAGATCTTAAGACTTGCAATGATAAAATATACTTATGGTATTTAATTAACAAAGCTGGCTCAGCCATTGGCATACATTTCATTGTCTCTAGAATTCCCAAAGCATTTCTGAGTAAAACAATGTTTAGCAAAAAGCTGCTATTCCAAATCCAAAACAAATATTTAAAATGTTTAATTTCAACTCTGTTTTATGAGAATTTTGCTCAGCTGACCAGCAAAGAGGAACAGAACCAGCAACCAGGGGGATACTAGGGACTAAAAATGATAAGCAACGAGAAGGAAATCTATGAAGAACATGCAGGAAACAGGGATCTGACAAAGCGGCGATTAAACTGAGAGGCTCTTAAATACAGAGGAGGTCAATTAACTGGAGCTCAACACAGGAAGTCTAAGTATTTGATGTTTCATCCATGTTTTTCCAAGACAAAGATCCGCTTTTGTGACAGACGTGTTTTGCTACACTCTAAAAAGAAAAAGTTGATCCAACTTAATTGAATTACTTCTGTAGGTAACAAGTAATTCAATTAAGTTGGATCAACATAATTTTTTTAGTTTGTTTAACTTGATAAATTTAGGTCAGTCTAACGCAATTTATTTACTTTATTTCATATACAAATGTTTAATCCATCTTACTTAAATTTATAGAAAGTCAACTCAAAAATGTAAGTTGTTCTAAGTTAAAAAATGAAACTACCCCAAAGTCGTTTATGCATATTTTGTACTTACAATAATGCTTAAATATAAATCACTTTTAAAGTATGTTTTAGCTTTTACAATAGCAGTAAAATTCCTTTACACTACCCAAAAATTCAACTTGGTTATAACAAATCTACACTGCACAAATAGAAAATGTTAAATTTTATTGTGAAATCACAAACTTACAGATTTTTCACAACACATTTTGCACTGAACATACTACACAGATCTTTTGCTTGTCTGCTTAATTGAGTTAGCTTTTTAGTAAACTGAACATGGGGTACCCCAAGTCCAGTTCTGGAGAGCTACCATCCTCCAACTTTCAGATGAATCCAATCTCCAAATAAAATTAAGTGCTCATTACTATGCCTCTGCTCAGCTGAGTGTCTGCTGGTGTGTAAATTCAGCAAGGTGGTATTGAAATAGTCCATCTGACATTTGCACATTGATGGCTCTCCAGGACAAACTTTGGACATCCCTGTGTGAGCTTGTAGAATCCAGATGTATTCCTCTGAAAAACAATGTTTTTCAGATTTACCACAAGTCCTCCTAAAATAAAGGAAATCAACATTCTCAATCCCTAAACTGTTTTTACATAAAATGTAAGAACATGTGTGTCTGTTTTTAACATCTTCAAGAACAAACTGAAAACAAGCAATAACATCTACATGCTTTCAAACAAGGTTGTGGGGTCATGGCTTGCAGCATTTAAACCATCTCCGATACTTAAGTTAACTGACATCAGAACAGAATAGTAAACATTAAGCACTGCTTAATCCAAATTGAAAAAAAAATATGAAAAAACACTGTGAAAGTGTCTGTGAACAATACTACAGCAGCCTACTAATGCTGTGGCTTTAATATGCACAATGTCCCAAAAGAAATTCAAAAAGTTCAGTCCCTTGAGGTTAAGCTTCCAAAACACAGCCCCCTCATGTTCAAACAAAGACAGAAAATAATCTGTCATTTTGCACAACATACAATTGTCTTTACTGAGAGGTCTGAAGTCTTCCAAACAAATTCTGAACTTTAGGAGACATTTTGTGTTGGTCAAGTTGCATGAAGATTTTTTGAAACACTTCAAATGTGAAGCGCAGAGGCTTCGGATAAGCCAGGTTAAGGGCATATATCAAACCCAGAAGCAGGGCACATGCTGAGGCAACTGAAGTCAGGTCATGCAACACCTCCACTCCCTCAATGACAATGCCAATGTCTTCTGGGGATTCTTCCAATCCCTCTCCCTTCTTCCGAATCACAAATATTGCCAGGGTGAGTTGTTTGAGATCCATCTGGGCATCATCTCCACAGCTGCCCTGTAGTGAGATAAACCATATGTTAAACTTGAAGACTGTAACTAATCTGTCAGTTGACAAATAAAAGCCTTATAAATGCAAGCATTAAGTACAAGTGTACAGCTTGTGAATTGAAGAGAATCGTTTATGGCATCTGAAATATCCTTGATAAATTTTCCAAGTTCAAAGTTGCATTAAAAATTGAATAACTCAAAGGGTGATTTTTAAGGTTTTTAGAAAAGATAATACAAGGATGTAACTTTATATGTGTTTTGTCATATTGCAGGTTTTAGCTTAAACAAATTCATAGATTATACATCAAAGCAGAATAGTAGTCCAAGCCAATGGTCATCTTAGGTTGGAAATCAACACAAAATGCATATTTCTGTTACTTATCAGATATTTTGGAGCTGGTATGAAAATAGCATGACTAAAACATTCTTATTAACTTGTTTGTTATATTGGTGAACAGGAAATGAAGTTGATAGTGAAGTTAGATAATGGTCTTTGCTGAATAGCAAAGCACACCACTGTTGGATTTAAGCAGGACATAACCATGTTAAATTTACAATTCTGACACCAAATCTGCCTGATGTATTAAAACAGATGTTTAAATATAGAAAATGCAGGCCAGAAATAATTTAAAAAAGTACAAGCAACTGACATTGAATTTTTCAATTTTCCTGAATGGGTTAAGATGCGGCTTCAAACCTTTAAAAGAAACTTACACTGTATTCCTTAATAAGGTCTTCTGGATCCTCTCCAAGAAAGGTGATGAGCCCTTTCAGAACACATTCCCTTCGAATCCCAATGTCCTCCACCTGGAGAAAATGTATTGTTATCAATATTCCATATCTCTGACAAGATTTCTGATGTAACAGTAATATATTCAAATACCATAATGTGCAGCCCACATGTCCACCGGGTTAATAATGCTCTTCAAAATTATGCAAATTCCACCTCTGCCAAAATTTATGCTTCAAGTCTCAATTTGTGAAACTAGACTATATTGTTGAGGTTAAGGCTTTTTCTTAGCACAATCTACTAGGACTAATGAATATCATTTGTTGTTTGTATTTTATCTTGCAGCATAAAATTGATATAAGTCTACCATTTAAAAAATTAAAATTTTAAAATAAGCTCAAAAAAATGTACTAAATAGCACTAATTTCTGGCAAGTTGGACAGAAAGGTGTATTTTATGAAATTCATGAATGAACCACAATACAGACTAACTAAATCCACTAAAAATACATAAGACAGTTAAACTTGCTTTTCTTTGAGTGATATCACCTTTGCACAAAGTGTATCAAGTATTAATAATTAAAACAAAAAGTCTGAAAGTAATTAGAGACTTTAACTTCTTTGTTTTAAATTAAAAATGGTAAATGTCCCCCAGTGTTCCTATCGATGATATCCATACCTCATCATAGATTCTCATGATTCCAGCTATTTTTGCACGTGTTGCTCCTCCCTTGGCTTTGATGACTTTAATCAGCTGACTTGAGAGCCTGTCCAACTGGGCAAAGAAAGTCTGCTCAAGGGGAAGAGCCATGAGTCTCAGGAACTCCGCATTAATCTGAGAAACAAAATAAAACTTATTTTGTATCTTACAAAATGACTTAAAGTAAATACTGACCAATCATTCCAAAATCTAAGTAAAAATCCTCAATCTGCATTACTACCTCTTTCTGTTGGAACAGGGCAGGCCATCTGTCCTTGAAATCCTCTATGCCAGGTTCTTCATTCACCACCTCCTGACGCCTGTAGGCAAAGGTATGAGCCATTTTCTCCGCAATGACCTTGTCATTGTTCCTCCTTTTGATTGCTGTCAAGAGTTCAATTCTCTCTTTTTCCATACTTTCTTGTGTTTCTCCCACTGGAAAGGAAGGATAGAAGTTGGCTTCAGCTCGTCTTGGCTTCTTTATTTTTGCAGCGGGAAACACTGAAGTACTGGCTTTGGATTTAAGTGCGTTAACAGACAATTCTGGACATCCCTGAAACTTGAGTAGAGTCCTGTAGTTTCCCATTTTGTACTTCAGCCTTTGTTTCCAACCGTAGCAACCATTGAATGAACCAGGCTCTTTTAAACATGGATGTTTTTTAATCAAGGCCTCTGCAACTACACAGAACTGTGCGTCCTCTGGATAGGCTCTGTATCTGTAGATCTCTTCTACTAATCTATTTAGGATGTCAGTCTTCATTCGTGGGGTGACTGTCAATATTTTGTTTTTTGCCTGATACTCAGAATTCCCCTTCTGTAGCTGACGTTCAGTGTCATACGAAAACATGGGAATGGGAAAGTTGGCTGGCCATTGTTTTGTTCGCGATGAGAAGGATTCAGGGGAGGAGAGGAGTATAGTGTCATTTGAAGCTAAAGAACTGCTGTCATCTGAGTGAACTGCAGAAGAAGATGGAGCTGTTTCAATGACATCAACAAAAGGTTGAACTGCTTCTTCTTGAATCACCTTGACTGTTCCCAAGTCCACAAGGTCAGAAGTTGAGCTGAAGTTGAAGAAGTCATTACCAAAGTCTTTGTCCATATATTGCAGTCTGATGTTGGTCTTTAAACCAAAGGTATCCTTCACCTTGCTGAGAAGATCATCCAGAGAATCTGGTATGCCATTTGAAAGAGTCAGTTTTTCAGTGTTGCTCTCTCCTAGAATCACCTTCAGTCTTGCAGGTTTTGAACTTGCCATGGCAATCTGAAAAAAGGGCATAAAGATGGCTCCACTGGATGTAGAGGAGCAACAGCTCTAATCTCAGCCTCTCCGAGATGACTGAGCTTCTGACCCCATGTTGAGTGAGAGCTCATCAACCCTTTGGAGGAAATTAATTTCATCTCGTTCTTTGACCACCTATTCCTTTTACTTTAAAATGATGTTATTTATCGAAACTATTTTTGAATTAGTTTAGAGTATATGTTTTTCATATTATTGATACAATACAGCATATTAACTAATAACTTAACTTTTTTTTAAATTAGAAGCTTAGTGAAGCAAATATGGCTTACCTTCTATGGTCTGATGATGCTTGGCTCCAGGCCTGGAGAGTGGGAAAGAGAAATTAACTCAAAGTTCCTACAAACATGAATTGCTTATTTTGTTTTTTGCTTTTTTAAGAAAAATGACATCTTATGGATTATTAGCGCAGTCAGGATATTATGCGTTTTATATCATGTCGTCAGTAAGCAGGCTGACAATTGGAACAAATGGCTTCCCTGACTGCAGCTCACGGTGACAAGTGACAAGCAGAGCGCAGTTGCGTCACATTAAATTAGTTTTGCGTATAACACTAACACCTCCGTAACTGTACGTTAAGATTACCCATAAAAAATCAACCTGTCCAGTAGTTCTTGTTATAAAATCTGGCCACCACTGCAGTGCATTAGCTGCTCCCACACTTTGACCCAGTCTAGCTTCCGACCGGAACACGCCAGCAGTTCTCGGTCCACCAGCACCAGCCCTGAACGTCTCCAGTCTAAATCACATTTCATGTTTTTCACTACATACCCGGCTTCCAGCTATTTAAGTTCTTTAGGGTCAAATAAAAAGTACACACTCAAAATAAACGTTCACTAACTAACAGAGCAGTTAAGTTCAAACATGCCGAATAGCGCGGCAAATTACAACTAGCAAATGTGTTCAAAGCAAATAACTGATGATACTTCGACGTTAAAAACAGTTAACTGTTTCAAATTAAAGGTAGAAAAAGTCATTAATATTTTTACACCGTTTAAATAATATTTTGCCATGATGTGTAGAATACTTACTGTTTTACAATCCGGTGGACAGTCGATGGTCAGAAGAAATGGCGGCTGCACAAGCGGTCGGTACAAGAAGTGGATCTGTCTCGGGCAAAGCTTGCGTAATGACGTCAGACGTAAAACTGCATTCAACTTAATTGGTTCACGTCAACTCAAAGTTAACCGTTTGTTTTAGATAAAATGTGTGTCTTTTATGTTAATTGAACTCATGAAAGTAAGTTGACATAACTAAAGCCAAACAATTAAGTCAGGTTAATGTAAAAAAGGCCATAACATTAACTACAGCCCAAATACACTTTTTAGAGTGTATGTGGTACCGTCTCAACATTCTGTCCGTCCATCAGCTGCCATTTTCTTCAACCTGCTCCACTGTTACTGATTGTGGGAGCCCCACTGACGTAGACGCTTTAACTTTCAGTTGTCACCCACCCAGTGTCTCCAACTCCACCCCCACCCATCCTACCAGCCCCTTTTCTCCTCGTCTCCTTTTGTCGTGTCCCACTGCTTTTTTTTTTCCTTCTCTTGATTCCCTGTGGGGAGGAAAATTCCTCTTATCAGCTCCGACCATATGCAGCCGCGCGCGCGTACGTGTGTGTGTTTTTGAGCCCTGTGTGTGCACGGGGATAATCCTTTGCCTCTGATTGGCCCAGCTCATACCCCTACTTTTTTTATTATTATTATTTTGGTGAAGGTGATGACTGGAGTTTTTCTTTCTTTCTTTCTTTGAGAGGCAGCAACTTTCATTTTGGTTTTTAAAGGTTGCGCCTTTTAAATGGCGCAAGAGTAATTACAACGTGAAGCATCTTAGAGTGGCATTTTGGGAAATCCATTAACTCCTGGATAATCAAAAGGAATTTGCATCCATCATCCCATTTGAACGACGCCGCATGTGTGTGTGCGTGTGTGCGTGTGCGTGTGTGTGTGTGTTGTATTAGTACATAGTGACTCACTGAGCCTGTCAGAGGACATTAACATCAATTCAGCTTTTTTTTTTTTTTGTTGGAATCAGCTCGCTTCTGAATTTGCTTTCCTCGTCCATATTTGTGACGCCTTGCATGATGAAGATGATGATGCTGTGGATGGTGGTGTGTGTGTGGGTGTGTGTGGGTGTGTGTGTGTGTGTGTGTGCGTGTGTGTGCGTGTGTGTGTGTGTGTGTGTGTGTGTGTGTGTGTGTGTGTGTGTGTGTTTCCATTCAGCAAAGTCACAACAGTCCTGCTGCATTGGAAAATTAACACCTGTCATTTAATTATAGGATGGCGGCTCGTGGCCAATCAGCGCAGCCGCCGTTATCGAAGGTCAACATTCATTGGCTGCTGTTCGGATTCATTCCTCCGTTCGGAGCCGCGACCACGTGACACGGCCCGCATGTGTGTCAGTGTGCAGACCCCGCCGTTTGCCAAAATTGAGAGTAGAAGAAGAAAAAAAAAAACGAAATTGTCTTTCCCTCCTAGTTGCCATAGTAACCAGTGATTCACCGCATCTGGCAAATTACCGGGCTGTTCTGGAAGGGCGCGAGGGTGTGTTGATGTGGGTGTGCAAACTATAAATGTGTGTGTGTGTGTGTGTGTGAGAGAGAGAGATTGTGTGAGAGTGTGTGAGAGTGTGTACCTGTCCCGCATGCGAAAAGAGACGTTCAAGTGAAAACTAGAAGGAAGACGGGTTGATGAGTGACGTTTCTGGCTACAAAACAACAACAACAACAAAACTATTCCAGAGAACAAAGTCAGTGTCTGTAATGCTAGATATCAAAGTGCAAAACTGGGCAAAAATAAAAGAAGAATAAAATACATAAAAGACGAAAATTGCTTCTCTGTGTTGGGATGTCAAAGCCGGGTTGCAGATTAACATCAACTGAAAGACAAAGAAGAAGCAAACAGGGACCGTTGAGAACCGCCATTGTTTTGTTAAGTACAAACAAATGTGTAAAGCAAAATAAGTGCTTATGATATATCTGTAAAATGGACATGCAATTAAACTGCACAGCACTTGCTTGTATCAGAGCCACTATTGTCCACATTTTGAGAATTTAAGTTGATGAAATTTGCAACATGTCTCATGTTTTCTTCCCTTTATGTTATCGTCACTGCTTTGTATCGTATTGAAACAGATGGCATTAGACTCTACATTGTATTACATTACATAATATTAAAGAGAGACTGACTGAATGTGATTTATATTTTAAAATAATATTTTGCTTCACACATTATCTGCTTAATAGATGGTGAAGCGGCAAAAAATTGCATAAAATTATAAAATATAATGTTACTATTTGACTTAATTCCATTTATGCATTTAGCTTAGAATCTCATAGAGAAGACTTGGTCTGCTTTTGGATGTTTTTCCGTTTTGTTTTGAGCTCCTTATAATGCATGTAGAGCGCAGCTAATGTGATCTGAAGATGATGATTCTCATTTCTATTTTGAGCAGTGCAGCTTTCGCTTCAGAGGAAGCCACTGCAATCTTGGCCTGTAACGCCTTCATAAGGACGTCTCGAAATCGTCAAACAAATATTACGACGAGGATTAAAAATGTCGACGCGTTTACACGGCCAAAACGGACTAAAAGAATTTCAGTGTTCCACTTTGAAACAGCACGATTTTAGTTTAGTTTAATCGAACCTTAAAAATCACAGAACATGCAGTGACTTTCTGAACCAAGGTCCCAAGAGATGCTGCAGAGAAGTACAGCATCGTGAAAACAACCTTTTTTTTTTTTACATTAAAGGATGTAAACATACAGAGTTGTTTTGAAAATGTTTGATATGTTTCCTTTTGTTGTTGTCATGCAACACATTATAAAACCCAGTAAGGGAGAGAGAAACAAACATCAACGGTGATGTAAGAACAACATTTAGTCGTCCGTGTAGACAGCCCGGTTTCCCCTGACTCCATAGGGCATCAGTCTCTTTAACAGCTAAACGCTCCGGTACACACAACCTCTGAGCATGTGTGTGTGTGTGTGTGTGTGTGTGTGCGTGCGTGCGTGCGTGCGTGTGTGTGTGTTTACTGCTTGGTGCGTGGCAGGTAGTGGATTAATCTGAGCCTGTATGTTAAACGCTGGCTCAAAGAAAACCAAACAGGTTCCTGGGCTGCTGCTGTTAAGTTTAATGATTTTTTTTATGGAGCACATTAAGAAGTAAGTCAAAGATGCAGGTGAAGTGACTGTTGGCTACACTGGAGTTTCTTCAAAAGGGCAGTTTTATGTTTGAGCGTCACATTCTGTTATTGTCGTGAAGAGGGCCCAAATGCAGCGTGGTTTGGAAACTTTAATAAAAAACTGGATAACAAAAAACATAGAAAAATCACAGGGAACACGGGGAGCCAGAGCAGAATAAAAAAAATCACCGGGACCAAGAACAACAGGGAAGTAACGGGATATAAGGGTGAAGTAATCACCCTTGTGAACCTATCAAAATGCATAAAAAGCAAAACAAAAGTTAAAGGAGTGTGAACACTTTTTCAAGGTATGTATAGAGATGAGTTTAAGTTTGAGAGTAGACAGCACAGGGCCGCATGTATACCCAGTAGAGAGAATAATGCAAACAAGGCCTTTCACAGTGGCTAAACAGGGGATCAACCTTGCCTTGTTTGGCAGCCGCCCTTTTTCTATAAATCACAGGGGTAAATGGTCTGTGTTTAAGGCTTAAACACCCCTCCTATTATGGCCTGTTCGATGGCTGACGGCGAGCTGTATATTTGCAGCAGTTACCTGTTAAAAACAGACATGCACACAGCACGAGTGAGACGTTTTCGCCCAACGCCCTGGCTCGTCTCCATTCTTGAAAATGATATATCGGAAACGTTTAGCTCCCCCAGCTGAGCGGGGACTTTGACATCTTCATTTTTACTCCACTTTCAATTAAAGCCACCAGTGAACCACAAATAAATAAATAAAAACAGAAGTTATGAGCTCTCTTGGGTTGAGGGAAAGAGCGGAGGAAATGGGAGAACGGGGAGAGAAATGACAACTCCTTTCAGGGAGGAGCTGAGATGGACAGCAGATAGAGGGGAAAGATGGAGGAGAGGAGGAGAAGAGAAAGGTGGAGGGAGGAGGTTAACGACTGATCGGTGTGTGTTTGTGTGACTATGTGACACGGGGGAGAGGCGCACAGAGAGAAAAAGGTGTGTGAGGGCGCCATTAAAGCCTTGTACCATAAATCTACTGCAGTGTGCATGTGTGTGTGTGTGTGAGTGGAGATAACGGAGGGATGTCTCTCTCCGTTCTGCTTCTATCAGGATGATTCATGAATCCCTTTCTTCCTCCTTGTGAAATATTAGAGAGGGGACCTGTGTGTGTGTGTGTGTGTGTGTGTGTGTGTGTGTGTGTGTGTGTGTGTGTGTGTGTGTGTGTGTGTGTGTGTGTGTGTGTAGGGTGTGTGTGTGTGTGTGTGTGTGTGTGTGTGTGTGTGTGTGTGTGATCTCAGTCGGCTTGTACTCACCTCTTATCAGGGTGGACACAAGGTAATGTAAGTGGGAGACTGGTGGCCACCTGAGAAAGGAAAGGAAATGACCCAGATTCCCAGTCACACACACACACACACACACACACACACACACACACACACACACACACACACACACACACACACACACACACACACACACACACACACACAAAACACCCAGAAACGTAAGGAGCGTCTGACAGTGACGGCTCTCTTTGACGGAGGGCCGCGCGGCTGACAGCGGTGATTGATTACGCCACGGTGAACACCTTTCAGCGCTCCGCTCTTCATTTAGCTGACAGTATTGTCTTTATGGCGCCTTGTGTTATGGCATCATAATCGTACCGGTGCCACCGGAGCGCCGGCGGGGGATAAATCTTTATAATCTCTCCCGCTTCCTCGGCGCGGGGCTGCCTCTCTCCTTCGTGACGCTTGAAGGTTGGCCCAACGGTCACCCGGCCTCGGTTTGGAGCCGCCGAGGGGTCGGGCGGCGGCGGCGGCGGGGGGGGAGAGAAAAGTTGAGTCAAGTTTATTTTGCATGGCACGTTTCAGCAACACATTAAAGCGCTTCACAAGATATCAGACTGAATGTTTGCTTCTGTTGATCCAGCTTCGAAATGCCTAAAGTCTGAGTCCTGTGCGGTTAATAGGCTGCGTTCACACTGCAGACTGAAATCCGATATTTTGTCAAATCCGAGTTTTTTGTT